AAATTCTCATTTAAAGTCTCATTGGTTAATAACCTAAAGTCCATCTACGTACGACCGGACCTCATATCGAAGTCAACACATAATTACTTCATTACCAATTCCGCTAAAAATCTAACGAAAGTTTGATGGGGTCTCTTTAATAAATTGGATGTTTTTTTTTTAATTTTAAGAGACTCCACTTGTTAAAAAAGAAACTATATAAACAAAAAAACAACACAATACATGGAAACATTTTCAATTAATCATTGTCACAAAAACATCATTCAAAAGTCACACTCGAGCAATCAAATAATCAATTTAGGTGCTTGCCTCGAATAATCTATCAAGTAAATCTCAAACTTTTCCTCCTAGCTCCATCACATAATATTGAACAACCTTATTTCTCCTAAATTTGTGAAGGTCTCTAACCCCTTAAGTTTGATATGCTTCGACATTAATCGAAATACTTCAACAATTATCGGTAATATAATTGCAAAATTAATTATCACAACTAACTAAAAATTTCTCTATGGTTTAAATTATAAATTGGAGTTTTGATAACTTACTTTTTGAGTAGGAGTTGTTGGAAAATTTCTAAAATGGGTGGAGTGATCTGCGACAATGCTACTAACTATATAGCTATAATAATTTTTTATATAAATAATTAATATTACAATCCATACAATAACTAATTATCTATCTATATCAAACAAATTCGATCAAAAATTAATTTATCAAATTTTAAATCTTTAATTCAAATAATTAGTTATTATGTAAATTTTATATTAACACTTTAATTTTAAATGTAATGTTTTATTTTAAATCAAATTACTTAATTATCAAATGACTCTACCTATATTTTTAATAATTGTATAACCAATTACATGCTCAAAATTTTATCCTAATGTATCAACACGCAAACCTAATTAATTCAAAACAATTCTAATAGTTTAAAAATATATTCAATTAATTTTTAAATAGCATAAATTGATTTTCTTAACATACTTACAAATATATATATATATATATACGTGTGTGTGTGGGGGGGGGTAAAATTTCAAACACCAAAAAAATAGTAAAATTAAGAGTAATACATAAAACTTATAAAAATTAAATATAAAATATGAAATAAAACAAAGAAATATACCTAATTGGAGTTCTCTTTCGGTAGAGAAAGAAAGAGACACACACAAGGTGGAGCACACCCAAGAGAGAGGAGATACCATGGTTGTTTTTGGGAAAAAAAAATTGATTAGAGTGGCTAGAGATTGATGGGCGAGTGGAGGAGTGGTCTTTGTAAGGAGTTTTGAGGGGGTGTTGTAAGCGAAAGTGATGGATGGAGATGGTAGTGGTGAGAGGAGAAGAGGGAAGGAGGAAGAAAAAAATGGAGAAGAAAGAAAAACCTACCAATTTAGGGATTTAATTTTAGCGATGGATGTGACTTTATTGCTTATTAGTCACTAATCAGCAACAACATTAAGTATCCATCATTTATTTTGAATTTTAAATTACTGCCTATTTTTAACCAAAAATAATGACTAACTAACCCAATCTGTTGCTAATTTTGGTCAAGAAATAGCGATAAGTTTTATTCCATTGGTAGTTGGCGACAACTTCGGCGATTTAGGATAGAATATTCCCTCACTAACCATTACATAAAAATAAGCAATGGATTGAAGTATCCATCATTGAATTTTCTCAAAAATCTATCGTTAATCCATCGTTGAAACAACTATAAATATTTTACCGCCATATTTAACTACGATCAACAACAAACATTGTTCATCATTGACCATCCAATGTAAAGTGGTCGGTAGTTTGTCACTAAATTCGATGTGCGATAATTGTTCACTAATACATCATTGTTTAGCTATAGATTTTGAATCCATCACTAAGTTCTATCACTATTTGCCTTTTTTGTAGTGTGTTGCTCATTTGTCAAGATATACCTAGTTTGCTTTAGTTCTATAATCATGCTCAACATATCCTTTACGTGTTGTTTTATAGGTTTGTTTAAGACCTTCTTATAAATGTCGAACTTGATCGTGAACTCGCCTTAATTTGTAGACAGTGGTGTCTCTAAACTCTTTCCTCGGCTTGCCCAAATGGCATAAACAATTGGATTTGGTACTTGAAAACCATATCATCATTCATATAACTAATCAATATTCTCTTTGCGATGGAATTTGCCTTCTTCTAAGCATGATAAGTAGCAATATCTCGATAATACTAGGCATTGTTGTTCCCATCATTAGGTTGAGGCTTAATCATTTCACAATTAATTGATTCTAAAGCCATTAGCTCTTCTAAGACATAATGTATCTTAACATACCATATGTTATAGTTGTCTCTGCTAAGTTCTTTTACCCTTATTCAAATCAACAATGATGTTTTTTGTTGTCATTTTGACATTCGAGTTACTACAAACAAAAATTATATATATATATATACATATAATTTTTTTTTCTAGTCACTACTTTTTTAAATTAGTTATTAAAATCCAATATAAGATATGAAATCAACGGTTCGCTATATTCTCCATCATCATCCATATTTAGAAGTTTGATTTTAATAATTCAATTTAAAAATTGTGCCATTTAATTTTATCTCACAATGCCTATTAAATATATGTGAAGTAATCAAAATGATACATATAAGCAAAATATAATACTTCATAAATAACATATATTCATACATATAAATTTTAAAATTGTTAAAAAATCATTTATGTACCCTAGAGCATTGCATAAAATATTTTGAAAATTTTATTGGAATTTATTTCATTAAAAATTCGTTATTAATGAATTTCTTACTCTTTTTATAACAATAATTAAAATAAATTCCATACTATATTAAAATATTCAATTTTAGACCATCATCACGTTCACACACACATATATATAAATTTTGCAAAATATTTTAAAATTTAATTCACTCCATTTTAATTATTATGAATTTATTATTATTTTCCATAGATAATTTTATAGTAAATAATTTTGGATCTCGAGAATAATTTCACTTTAACAACAATTTTAAACCAAAACGATATTTTGGCCCAATGGTCTTTAAGCATTTGTCCAGCCCTTTGGATTTCGAGGGCGTGGGTTCAAATTCCATAATTGTTAAAATTTTGATTTTTTTTTTATTAATCTTAATATTCATAACATTATAATCAAATAAATATTTTTAGATATTTTAAACCAAAATAATAAGCTAGCTTAGTGATCTTCAATGCTTGTCTAAGAATTTAGGCCTAAAGTTTGTGTGTTCGATTTTCATAGTTGTCTAAATTTGATTTGTTTTTGTGTACTACAATTTATAAAATTCATAACATTCGCTACCAATAACATAGAAATTTCAATACTACCAAATATTCTAACATAATTAAATTATCTCATAAATGGATATTCTAACATAATTAAAATTATCTCATACATGAATAATATAAGTTCTAGTACTGGCAAATATTCTAACATAATTAAAATTATCTCATACATAATAATTAAAATGATCTCAGGCATGGATAATATAAGTTTAAGTACTCAAAAACATATCTCATAAAAAAAAAAAAAAAAAAAAAAAAAAACTATTATAAATGGATAATTTGTGCATTCTAAGAATTATAGAATCAAATAATTCAAAAACATGTTTGGTCATGGAAGCTACTAAAAAAGGTGTGATACTGATGTACTGAAATCACAACCATAAATAAATAAGTCTAAGATCAAAATAGTACTTATCTCTAGTAGTTTCACTAAATTAAGATAAATAGTTTCATTATATCAAGAAAATAATATTAAATCACTATTTAAATTCTACAATTCAATTGTCAAGATAACCTTTATTTTGTTTTTCTTATTCTGGAGAGAATTTGCAGAGAGTTTTCCTCTAATATTTTTTTTTTATTCTATAGTTTTTCTTTTTCTAAATTACCCTTATTCTTTTCACACACACATATATATATATATATATGAGTGGAGGGAGATAACATTTTCTGTATAACAGTTGCTTGTCCATTTTCTCTCTATTTTTTATTTAAATAATTTTGTTGTCAAATTAACTCATCATAAGCGACCCGACGCAGATCATTTAATCTAACAGGTAAATAAATCCCTATTCACTAATTTAATTATGTCCCTCACCACTCGTCTGATTCTGTCAATTTGATTTATGTTTCTAAAACAAAAGAAGAAAAAGTAGCATGACACGCAATGACACTAACACTTAGAATTGATGGCTTAGCTCGCCCTTTTTATCCATTGTTTATTATTTTTAAATATTATTTTTTCCCAAATAACTAAATTTTTTTATATAAAAACTAAAAAAAAATTGTTTTCCTTGATTTTGACTTTTTTTATTATTTCTTAAAAATTAGTGTAGAAAATAATCATTGTTGTAAGAAATTATTATTATTCTTCATATAGCCTAAAAAAATGATTAATCGTCAAATTTTTTAACAATAATAGGAGTTTGATAATTGATAATTAATCAAACTTGGAAACATAGTTTTCAAAAATTTAATGACAGCAATACTAAAACAAAGTTGATGTGACGTTGATTTTTATTTTTTAATATATTAACACATTTAGAAGAAGAAAGAATTTAAAATAACAAGAATTTTTATAGTTTTTCCCCTTTATTTTCCATTATTTTTTCATTATTAATTTTTTCTGAAGAATTAATTGTTGTTTTTGTATTTTTCAAACAACCTCGTGAAAAAATAATAGGTTGGAGATGTAAAAATGAAAAAATATATACATCTCCACTTCACTGTAAAAATAAAAATTAGGTTGGAGATGCGGGGTATCGATCTCCGTACCTCTCGCATGCTAAGCGAGCGCTCTACCATCTGAGCTACATCCCCACTATACTGTTCATTGGGAAACGAAAGATTAATTATATTAAATAACAAATTTTGACGGAGGCATCTCAGGTTAATCCTTGTTCATCATCAACTGATACAAACGAAACCCAAAATCCTGGTACGAGCGAAGCAGCTAATCCTAGTCTCCCAAAAAAAAATGCTTCCAAGACAGTTACTACAGCAAGTTTCAACCTCCCGTCATTTCCTTTTGAATAATAATAAAACAAGAACAATAATAACAAGTTCATCTCCTTTCTTAACCAAATGTCTTCTCTTCTCTTCTTCTTCTTCTTCAGAATCACAAAGCCCCAAGAGTACTTTCGTCGAACATTTGGAGGACAAGGATGGCGACCAAGCTCCCACTAGCACAGCCATCTCCATAGACCGTTCCGCCCTCTATAATCCACCTGGTCCCACTGCTCTTCTCTTGTTTCTTCTCCTTCCTTTTTCGAATTAAATTTTGCTGTGTTCTTTGAATTAGTTTTCTTTTTTACTTATTTGTTTTTGTTGTTTTCTAGAGCATTCTCATGAACCCATGTTCGAGTCTGAGCTTGTCAAGCACCTTAACGGCATCATCAAGGTGCCCCTCCAATTTATTTTTATTGTTTTCGAAATGCAGATACTCTGTTTGCTGAATTGCCTCTATTTGTATCCCATCTTTCAACTGTTTGATTCTATTTCTCAAATTAAATAGAGTTTTGTTGATGGATTGATGAAAGAAGTTCACTTTCAGGATTTAACAGTATCAGGAAATGCTTGGGGCTTAGATTCATGTGATTTTGAAACTCTTGGCCGAAACGAGTGCTGATTTTCATAATGTTGTCAATGAAAAGTATGTTTTTGTGCTGGTGTGCTTGAAAAAAACTTACTTGTAACTTGTGGGTGGATTTTCAGTTCCGAGGTGGCCCAATCTCAGTGGCAGAGTATATGGAAGAAGTTTTGACGAATCCTAAATTTGGATTCTACATTAATCGAGATGTGTTTGGAGCAGAAGGTGATTTCATTACATCTCCTGAAGTAAGCCAGATGTTTGGTGAGGTAAATGAGTTATCGTTGAATTTTGGAATATTTGTGTGATCAAAGAAATATAGGATTAGCTTTCTTTGATCGTTCATGCACAAGAAGAGCTTTCCGTAAAGTTAAATAGGGACTTGTTCTTTTTTGGTTACCTCAATTGTCAATTTTTGGCGGATTGCTATCTGAGAAAATAATTTCAACTTGACCCTCTTGATGTAACGTCAGATTGTTGGTGTATGGGCCTTGTGCCTTTGGGAACAAATGGGACAGCCAAAAAAAGTGAACCTAGTGGAGCTGGGTCCAGGACGAGGAACTCTGATGGCTGATCTTCTACGGGTATGTCACTACAATTCTGATGATGCTAGTGAAATCGAAGGTGCTTTAGACTTTTTAGTTATTTGGTTTTCCTTGAATAAACATGCCTTTTCCTTGTAGGGTGCGTCAAAATTTAAGAGCTTCACAGAATCGTTGCATGTACACATGGTAGAATGTAGTCCAAAGTTACAGAAGCTTCAGCATCACAACTTAAAATGTTTGGAAGAAGATGATACCAGTGACGGTGTTGAGAAAAGGGCTATCAGCACATTGGCAGGAACACCTGTTTCGTGGCATGCTTTGCTAGAGCAGGTTCCATCAGGATGTATGGAGTTGTCTTTTGAATTTCTTTTCCATGAAACCTTATGTATCGGACTTGTATTATTTGAATGGAATGAGTTGTAAATTTTAGTTCAGTTTCACATTTTTGGATAATAGTTTTTCTTTTTCCTACGTTATAAAGTGATGCTTTTCCCTGATTAACACTGATGTTTGTTTGTGATGTTTCAGTGCCAACAATTATCATTGCCCATGAGTTTTATGATGCTTTACCTGTACATCAGTTTCAGGTTAGTCTATTGAGTTTCTTGGTGTCAGTCTCCCCTAGCAGCAACAAAAGAGAAAAAATAAATAAATAAATAACTAAAATGTGCAGGTTACAGTTAATTAGTACTTGTGTGATCCGTTATTTGCATCAGTTTGATATTTAGGATGCTTCTGCAAAATGCTTAATGCATTTTCATTTCCTGAGCTCTGTATAGTGTTCATTATCTTTGATTCTTTAGCTATTTGGGTCTTGTTTTCTCAATTGCCATATTCCTTCTGTTTTCTGCCCGTTCTTGCACTTGTACTAGTTGGTATTACTCAAGTTTCTTATTGAGTACTTATTTGTAATATTAAAATAATTGACGGAGCAGATACAATAAATTATGGTGAAATATAATGAAGAATACTATGGGATTCTGAGCTATCTCAGTTTGTTTCTCAATATGGAGGTTGCAAACTGATAACATGTTCTTCTCTGTAATTTTGGACTCATTTTCTCTATTTTATCAGAGTTTAACATGGAAAACTTTACTGTCAAGTTTTATATTCTTCACTCTATCTAGGCAGTATCTAAGTCATAATTCAAACTTTTACTTTTCATTCATCCCATAACTGGGAAAGAGATTTTTCGAATTACTCTCTTTTGGTTTATCTTGTCATTGGCGTTTGGCTGTCATATTTTCTGCCATTCACTTTTCACCTATCGTTCTGATTGACAACTTCTGCAGAGAGCTTCTCGTGGCTGGTGTGAAAAAATGGTTGATGTTTCAGAAGATTCAACGTAAGGATTTGTAGTTTAATCTGAGAGATATAATCTTCTTGCAGATAATTGTAGCTTGATTTTTCTTATGTTTATTTGTTAGGTTTCGTTTTGTTCTATCTCCACAGCCAACACCAGCAACTCTGTATTTAATGAAGCGCTGCAAGTGGGCCACACCTGAAGAAATAGAGAAGCTAGGTCACATTGAGGTTTGCCCCAAAGCAATGGATTTGACTCGTACTATTGCCAACAGAATAAGTTCTGATGGAGGAGGGGCCCTTGTAATTGATTATGGCTTAAATGGAGTAGTCTCAGATAGTCTGCAGGTGCAGTATCTTACCATTGTTTTTCTGTGCTGGTGCTTCCAATATGTCTGGTGCAATGCATGGTTTATCTTTTGTAAACATTCAATTTTCTAACCAGACAATTTTGAATACTTGAGCATCTAGGACCTATACCTGTTGCATTCCTTCATGTTCTATTTCTTTTCTTCAAACACTCCCCAGGGCTGTACAATGATTGCACTGTTGAATGAAGGTTACATTAATTGCATTGAAAACATTGAGCACTGGTTTGTGTCAATCTATGTTCACTAGACCCTTATTACATCTGAGCAGGCAATTAGGAAACATAAGTTTGTCAACATACTCGACAATCCTGGGTCAGCTGATCTCAGTACATATGTTGATTTTGCTTCCATCAGGCACTCTGCTGAGGAAGTGTCAGGTGTGTGCCCTCATCATCATGGATCTGGGTTTTATCTTTTAGAACTTAAATGCAGTTAAAAACAGAATTACTACAAAAAAATAGTGGGGATTAATTCATTTATTTCATGACTTTTTTAGAAGATATCTCTGTCCATGGACCAATTACTCAGTCCCAATTTCTTGGTGCTCTTGGAATAAATTTCCGAGTGGAAGCATTGCTGCAGAACTGCACAGATGAACAAGCTGAGTCCCTGAGGACAGGATACTGGCGTCTGGTGGGTGAAGGTGAAGCCCCATTTTGGGAGGGACCTGATGAACAGGTGCCGATTGGAATGGGTACTCGGTATCTGGCAATGGCCATCGTGAACAAGAAGCAAGGTGTTCCAGCTCCATTTCAATAAAGTTTGAACTGCTGCATGATTTGTAACCTTTTCTATTTCAAGCATTTGTAAATTTGTAACTTCGAAATGCTTGCGTTTTTTGGAAAGCCTAGTTCATTCCGAACTGGGGTGGTTGAGTGAAGATTTGGTTGTCTTCGAGTCTTTTTCATCCTTATCATTATTATTATTATTTTCTTGTTTATTGTTTCAAGATCTTCTAACTAGCGTTAAAGTATCACCCTAGAGCTTCCAGATAGAACGGGGGAGGCACGTGCAGCTTGTTTTGAGGTTCCCTTTAAAATCCATAGCGATTATACTGAGAATATATAACAGAGCTTTTAACACCAATTTGGTAGTAGCCCTAGCCTAACTAGCGGGAGTGTTTGAAACTTTTGGACTTTTTTAAATTGAAAAACACCCTTTTATTAAAAAGTAAAAAAGAAAAAAAGCCACCTCATAAACTCGGTCAATATCTTTAGTGTGACCAAAAATAGTTTTAGTCTATCTTTGTACAATGTGATGAATTTTTAATTTATTTTTATATTTTTATTTGAGTGTAACGGAAGTCAATTTAATTTTTATAAAACAATTTTATTCTTATAAAACGATTGATTCAATATTCTATTAATCTTTCCATCCAAATAAACATAATCAGTTATTTAAATCACTTAATATTTGATAAAAATAGTAAATTTGATGGAAGAGGGTGTGTGAGAGAGAGAAGGGGATTGAGGTTTTGAAGAGGGAGATAAGTCTGGTCTCCTGTGATTTTTTTTTTCCAAAGAAAAATTATTTTGTTTGTCACTTATTTTCATACCTAATCACGTGACTGACAGGTTCATAGACCTCACAATTTTATTAATTTGAATAAAAAAATTAACGGAATGATAAATTAGAAATTCAATTATTTTGTACAGATAAAATTAGCCTAATTAAAAATATAATTATAATTTAAAGCTCAACTTATTATATAACGATAAACTGTACATTCACTCGACGTGCGAAGAGAATTATATATCAAATTACTTGAAAAGAGTGGCACTATCTATTTTGGTTAGCACCATAATCATATGAACAGTGAGTATAGAAGACCCCCGTAGATCACATTCAAGCCATCTTGTTCGTAAACCTCGCCTCTTTGACGGAGCTAATAGAATCCAAAATGTCTACGAACAGATTCATATCTGAAAAAAAAAAAAAAAAAAAAAAGGAAGTAGGCTTAAATTGTAGAGTCCATTAACCAAATTCTCATATTATGCTACGCCAAAACTCAAGCTATCTAACTAATAAATCGTGTATATTTTTGAAGTTTCTTTCTTTTCTTTTTTTCAAAGTATTTTGCATATTCGAGAAAAATCTTAATTTTTTTTAGATTTATTAGCAGCCATTCCATGAAATCGATATTATTTAGAACACAATTGGTTATATTGATTTAAAAACAAATAGCCTTAGTGCATTACTCGAGTCCAAATCATATTACAGATTACATCAAGACATGCTAACTTCTGGATCCACAACTCTTAATCTAAAACTATATTCAGCTGTGATTAGTGTTTATGTTGATGGTACTCCAACCGATACAAATTTACTATGGGAGGAGTTAACACTTCTCAGGTTAGTTTTTACGGATACATGGATTCTGTTGGGTGATTTTAATGAAACTCTTTTAACTAGTGATAGAAAGAGTGGTTTAGTTAATAGAAGTGTTCTCTAGCTTTTAATGATTATGATCTAGTTGAATATCCTCTCGTTCGTCATCGTTTTACTTGGTTTCGAGCGAGGTTCTAGGAATAAAATTGACCAAACTTTTGGTAGTTCTGAATGGAAGCACCAATTCAACACTTATAAATTAGTTGGTCTTAATCGGGGTTTATCCGACAATTGCTCTTTATATCTAGCTCCGAAAAGAGTGAACGGGGATGAAAGTCGTTCAACTCTATGGATTGTTCGTGGCTTGATCCTAATTTTAAGAATTCTTTGCGAGCATGTGGAAAGAGGTATGCGGCATGAAGCCGAACCTTTTCCGTAACACTCGCGGACCAACATTGAGTCGAGAGTGTTATTGTACTATCTCACACTCGAGAGTGCAAGACAATGCATTGTGTCCTTTACTCTAGACCTCTATGACAACGCACATCGAAATTCCTTATTCATTTTAAAGTTTAAGACTTCCTAAGATTCAACATTTAACGCTAATAATTTTTTTGCAACCTATAGCATAATCTAAACTATTTCATTTCTATTCACAATTGAATCATAAACTTAAAATGAATATAAGCATCATTGGATTAAAACTAATGAGAGTATAAATCAAGTTTGATCCATTAATATCCTCAATTCATTCATAAACATCCATTTACTTCAAATCTCATATATATGAATTTCAAGCATGTAAAATGATGGTTTTGATTGCATTTCATGCATAGTTATATTTATTGAGCTTTAGCTCGTTGTTTTGTCTTATAATGTAGGTGAGCAAAGCAACACTTAAGGATCAATTAGATGCATTAAGGAAGCTAGTCGTGAGCTATAAAGTTTGCCAAATCTTGTACTATATATATGTCGCTACCCGACGTCGGATGGGACTTCTCAAAAAATTTATATTTCTAAGGATTAATTATTTACAAGTTAATTTACGGAGTTTGGAGTCGTCACCTAATATTAAAGGAACTAGGAACCTAAAAAGCACTCGGTTCGGAGATTCTATGACAAGGAGTTGGTTACACTTTCGGAAAGATATTTAATCACCCAAAAGTGCCATTTTCAAAAAAGGTACCATGTATAGTTTAGTTCTAAATTCATCTCCTAAATGTTTTATTTATGTGGAATTATTTTTTTGATTTTTAAACACCTATTTTTTGAAGACAAATTAAATTTTTTAATTTTGGGTGTAGCATCGTATTGAAACGATCGTTGGTCCCCTTCGCTAGGCGACACATTGGTTCAAACATCGGATCCACTTTAAGGCTTGACACAACCGCCGTGTCGGAGGACATCCCGATTAAACAATGATTTTTTGGTGACGTCAATCCCTATCGGATATGAGACTTCGTCGAAAATTTTAGATATATTATTATTATTATTATTATTATTATTATTATTGTTTTGTTTATTTTTATCTAATAATATACAAAAAAATAAAAAATAAAAATAAAATATCAATTCTAAATTATTTCAAGCAAACATGACAAGACGGAAAAAATAAAATCAAGCTAAAAAAAAGAAGATAAATAGATAAATAAATAAACTTAAAACATTAGAAGAAATCACTTTGGACCTAATCCACAATCTATTTTTCAATTTTTTTTTTTTAAAAAAAAATTAGGAGCTTTCTTTCTTTCTTTTTTTAATTTGGGGTAAGGAACACGAGTCCAGCCCTTTTTTTTTCCTTTTTTTAAGCGAGAGGAGGGTCAGCTCGGTCCGGCCCCATTTTGTTTCTTTTTTTTCGTTTTGTGCGACGAGGTCAGTCGAGTTGAAATCGATCCGGCCCTTGTTTTTTTTTATATCCTGATTGGGCTGCAAACCGAAAACAAAGCCCGTTCCCTCATTTTTAGATCAAAAACCAAATTTTAAGCCGATGACTCGTCTCTCCCTCCCGTTCTAATTGATCTTCATATTCTCTTTCTATTTTTCCAATTTATTTCGAATCTGCCTTATACTTAACAAAAATCTAAGCACTAATTGAAATGGAATAAATTTGGCATTAAGATTACCTAAATGAATCCAAAGGAAATGAGGGGTAACTTGCGTAAACTTGTTGTTGTTATGATTGTTGATTCTCGCAGGTAGAACTAATTTTTTTCATTAAATTGGAACGACGAAGATTTTACTCTCGTAGATCTATTGATGATTTGGAATTCATCAAGAGTGGAAGGGGATGATTGAGACTTAACGGAAACGGAAGTGGGGGATAGAAATCTAGAGACGAAACCAAAAAAAAAAAAAAAATGAAAACCCAAAATATGAACACCAAACCCGGATGAAGAACATGAAAAACACTCAACCCGGAAAACCCAAAAAACACGAGTTGCTAAAAGATAAAAAATTAAGTCTTTTTGCCTTCAATTTTCACTCTCTCTCGCACCTAAAATTCTCTTCTTTTTTCTTTTTTCTCTTGTGAATTCGAGACCCCTTTTTATAGCCACAAATTTCCTTGAATTTCTCCAAAAATCAACAATCAATCCCGAATTTTGCTATAAAAAATCTCAAAATCTCAAACTTGAGATTCGATTAGCTAATTAACATGGAAATGAATTAGTGACGACGAGTCGTCCTCTCCATTGCGATCCCGTTGTTCACTCCAAAATTTTAGTTTAGTCTCGGTAAACTTCAATTATCGGCAATCATGCCCTTACGTGGTATAATTTTAGTCTTTATAAAACGCAACCTTATTAATTAGGTCCTTGTAGGGTGCAATTTAGGTTCCGAATTTTTCAATTAATCCGATTATACCCCTAATTACCTCAATTATACCTTTCTTTAAGTGCAAATGTGTCCCCGGATAAATGTTTTTTTATTTTCTACATATTTTCCTCTTTTTTCATATTTTTATTATTTTCTTTTTTTAATCATTTTTGTATTTTTTTTGGTTTTTTTGTAATAAACTCCAAAATGAAATAAAAAAATAAAATAAGAGATAAACCACAACAAATAATAAAATAATAAAAAAATTTGGGAAAATTTTGGGTTATGAAGTTGCTCCCTATTTACAATGCTTATGATGCAAAGTCGGATAAAAAAGATGTTTTTGAATGACTTTGTTTAATAAGCTTATAAAGAAAAAAGTTGATTTTTTTTTTTAATGATAAAACCCGAAAGTAAAGCGATAATGGGATGACCTTGAAAACTAACTATGCGAGTACATGACTTTGTTATCAAGGATAGCCTAGCTTGAAAATTAAACTTGTAATGTGTGGTCTTATTTCAAGGGCGACCTACCCTAAAATAAAACGTGCAATATGTGACCTTATTGTCAAGGGTAGCCTACCCTAGAAACTAAACATGCAATGCATGACCTTATT